GGATTTTTGCATCAATGTTCATTAAGGAGATTGGCCTATAGTTCTCCTTTTTGGAGGTGTCTTTGCCTGGTTTTGGGATAAGTGTAATACTGGCTTCATAAAATGTGTTTGGCAGTTTTCCTTCCCTTTCTATTTCGTGGAACAGTTTAAGGAGGGTTGGTATCAGTTCTTCTTTAAAGGTCTGATAGAATTCAGCAGAGAATCCATCAGGTCCTGGACTTTTCTTTTTGGGGAGACTCTTGATTGCTGCTTCAATTTCATTTTGTGTTATAGTCTATTCAGGTGATTAATTTCCTCTTGGTTCAGTTTTGGATGATCATATGTATCTAGAAATCTGTCCATTTCTTTAAGATTTTCAAATTTATTTGAATATAGGTTCTCAAAGTAGTCTCTGATGATTTCCTGGACTTCCATGGTGTTTGTTATCTCCTTTTGCATTCTACTAATTTGGGTTTTTTCTCTCCTCATTTTAGTCAGGTTTGCCAGGGGTCTATCGATCTTGTTTATTTTTTCAAAGAACCAACTTTTTGTTTCATTAATTCTTTGTATGGTTTTTTTGGTTTCTATTTCGTTGATTTCAGCTCTTATTTTTATTATTTCTCTCCTTCTATTTGTTTTGGGATTTGCTTGTTCTTGTTTTTCTAGGAGTTTGAGATGTATCATTAGGTCATTGATTTGGGATCTTTCAGTCTTTTTAATATATGCACTCATGGCTATAAACTTTCCTCTCAGGACTGCCTTAGCTGTGTCCCATAGGTTCCGGTAGGTTGTGTTTTCATTTTCATTGACTTCCAGGAACTTTTTAATTTCCTCTTTTATTTCATCGATGATCCATTCTTCATTAAGTAATGAGTTATTTAGTTTCCAGCTGTTTGCATGTTTTTTGTCTTTACTTTTGTTGTTGAGTTCTACTTTTACTGCATTGTGATCAGATAGTATGCATGGTATAATTTCTATTTTCTTATATTTGCTGAGGCTTGCTTTGTGCCCTAGGATATGATCTATTTTGGAGAAGGTTCCATGGGCTGCTGAGAAGAATGTATATTGTGTAGAAGTTGGATGAAATGTTCTGTAGACATCAACTAGGTCCATTTGATCTATTGTATATTTTAGATCTTGGATTTCTTTATTGATTTTTGTTTGGATGACCTATCTATTGATGATAATGGGGTTAAAGTCTTCCACAACCACTGTGTTGGCGTTATATATGCTTTTAGGTCTTTCAGGGTATGTTTGATGAAATTGGGTGCATTGACATTGGGTGCATACAGGTTGATAATTATTATTTCCTTTTGGTCTATTTCCCCTTTTATTAGTATGGAATGTCCTTCTTTATCTCGTTTGATCAATGTAGGTTTGAAGTCTACTTTGTCAGAGATAAGTATTGCTACTCCTGCCTGTTTTCAGGGGCCATTGGCTTGGTAAATCTTCTTCCAGCCTTTCATCCTAAGCCTATGCTTATTTCTGTCGTGAGATGGGTCTCCTGTAAGCAACAAATTGTTGGATCTTCCTTTTTAATCCATTTTGTCAAGTGGTGCCTTTTGATGGGTGAATTAAGTCCGTTAACATTAAGCGTTAGTACTGATAGGTATGTGGTGATTCCTGTCATTTAGTTGTCTTAGTTGTTTGAAGGTTTGATTGTGTGTACCTAAGTTGAGGTTACTCTCTACTGTCTTGCTTTTTCTTTTCCTGTGGTTTGGTGCTGCCTGTCTTTTCATGGTTAAGTTGGGTTTCACTTTCTGTGTGCAGAATCCCTTGCAGAATCTTTTGTAGTGGTGGCTTTGTGGTCACATATTGTTTTAGTTTCTGCTTATCATGGAAGACTTTTATTGCTCCATCTATTTTGAATGATAGTTTTGCTGGGTAGAGTATCCTGGGGTTGAAGTTATTTTCATTCAGTGCCCGGAAGATCTCACCCCACGCTCTTCTTGCTTTTAATGTTTCTGTTGAGAAGTCTGCTGTGATTTTGATGGGTTTACCTTTGTATGTTACTTGTTTTTTCTCTCTTACAGCCTTCAATATTCTTTCCTTAGTTTCTGAAATTGTTGTTTTAATGATGATATGTGTGGGTAGTTCTATTTTGATCTGGTCTGTTTGGTGTCCTGGAGGCCTCTTGTATCTGTATGGGAATATCTTTCTCTAGATTTGGGAAATTTTCTGTTATTATTTTGTTGAATATATTACGCATTCCCTTGGCTTGCACCTCTTCTCCTTCTTCGATGCCCATGATTCTCAAGTTTGGTCTTTTGATGGAGTCAGTGAGTTCTTGCATTTTCTTTTCACAGGTCTTGAGTTGTTTAATTAATAGTTCTTTGGTTTTTCCTTTAATTACCATTTCATCTTCAAGTTCTGAGATTCTGTCTTCTGTTTGTTCTATTCTGCTGGATTGGCCTTCCGTTTTGTTTTGCAGTTCTGTTTTGTTCTTTTTTCTGAGGTTTTCCATATCCTGGTGTTTCCTCTTTAATGTTGTCTATTTTTGTCCTGAGTTCATTTATCCATTTATTCATCGTGTTCTCTCTTTCACTTTGGTGTTTATACAGTGCTTCTATGGTTTCCTTTATTTCTTCTTTTGCTTTTTCAAATTCTCTATTTTTGTTGTCTTGGAATTTCTTGAGTGTCTCCTGTACATTTTGGTTGACCCTATCCAGTATCATCTCTATAAAATTCTCATTGAGTACCTGTAGTATGTCTTCTTTTAAATTATTCTTGTGGGCTTCATTGGGTCCTTTGGCATAGTTTATCTTCATTTTGTTGGAGTCTGGATCTGAGTATCTGTTTTCTTCATTCCTCTCTGGTTCCTGTACTAATTTTTTGCTGTGGGGAAACTGGTTTCCCTGTTTTTTCTGTCTTCCCGTCATTGTCTTTGGTGTTGTTACTGTCCCTGTACTGTGTGCAATTAAGTATTTTCTAGCTTGTAATAATAACAATGGTAATATTTAGAATGGAAGGGTGAGCTGAGATGGAAAGCAAGAAGTTAAAGAAAAGGGGAAAACAAATACACAGACAAGAGGGAGAAAACAAAACAAGGTTTCAGACAGGAAAGTTTCAAAGGTATAAACAGGGAGCGTTAGTGCACTAGTTGACAGTAAGCTGAACAGACATTAGAGAGACAGAGAGGATTGAAAATCAAAAATAAAAAAAAATAAGAAAATAAAAAATAAGTAAATGACAGAAATATCTATATATAAAAATGAATTAAAATAAAATGGAAAATAGAAAATTAAAAAAAAAACAAAAAACCTCCAAGTTCAAATGCAATGAAGTTTCAGTCTTAATAATTTGGGTGTCCGTCTCAGTCTCCAATCCTGGAGATGGTGCCTCAGATGTTGTTCTGTAGTTGTCTCATCAAAGGGGATGCATAAAGTAGAACAAAATTACACACACACACACACACACACACACAAAAACCCCACCAAGTGTCCCAAGTTCAAATGCAATACAGTTTCAGTAAGTTTTTAAGCATGCAGGTGTAATTTGGTTTTTCTCTCATCAAAAGTAGGGAGAAAAAGAAAAAAAAGAGTCTGGAGACAGTTCTGAGAATGGTATCTGCAGCTGTGGCTTGCCTGCCCGCTGCTGTCAGCCTGCTGTTGCTGGTGGTGTTATTTATTCAGATCTCTGGGGTGAGCTTAGCACTCACCTGGCCCCGAAGTCTTTGTTTGCTCAGAGTTCTCCTGTGCAGGAGCCTCTGCTACAGCTTTCCCCTTTCTAAGCACACTGGGAAAGGTGACACAGCACCCACATTGTCAGCCCTGTGTGTTTATTTACAGTTCATGTGGGAGTTGGGTCTTCCCCCCTCTCCTGTGGAGTTTTCCTCCCACCACCACTTTCACAAGCTTTCCTGCTCCTGATTAGTGGGCGGTGCTGCTGCTCCTGCCAGCCGCCATGTTTGTTTACAGTTCACATGGGAAGTGGGTCTTCCCTCCTCTCCTATGGAGTTTTCCTCCCTCCACCACTCTCACAAGCTTTCCCGCTCCTGGTTGCTGGGTGCGCGCCCCCACTCCTGCCAGAGCCTCTCCTGCCTGCCTGGCTTGTTTATTTACAGTCCCGGGAAAGATTCCCTTCCCTCAATCTTCGGTGCTCAGGGCGCCCCACCCTCTTTCCCATGTGTCTTTATTGTTCTTATTGCTTATTAGTCAGTTTCTCTTTTTTTCCCTGGGTGGAGGTCAGTCTGTCCAGGGGGCTATGCTGCTCTGGCCCAGGCTTGTCTGTGAGAGTACTGTGGTACCATGAAGCTTCCCAAGCTGTCTGGGTGCGGGCGACTGGCGGCCCAGGGGCCCTCCTGGTTTCTCCGTTTAATGTGAAGTGGAGATTCTCTGCGCCAGCTGGAGGTGTGGAGGGGTCAAAGTTAGGTCTCTTCTCAGTGATTATGCCTGCAAAGTGTCTCCAGCGTCTCTCCAAGATTTCACTATAGCAGAAAGCTTTCTGCTTTCTCCTTCTAGCTGCCATCTTGGATCCAGATCTCAAATCACTTCTATTCTTTGCTTTAAACATCATTGGAAACCATGGCTGTATGGTAATGAGGTTTTTTTTTTTCTTTTACAGTTGCATTTGACAGGTTGAAAAAAATGCAATTAAAAATTGAGGGCTAGAAAAACAGAGGTTAAATGAGTTCAAGATTTTAAGGTATAAATGAAGTCAGAAACTAGATTTAGAGAGAATAAGAGAAGATATGTAATTGAAAGGTCTAGAATTGGGAAAAATAGACCTGATATTAGTTTCAACTGATATCCTTTGGTATGAGTTCATTCAAAGTACAATTAAAAATACAGCCTCTCTCATGATTAAGATCATAGTATCTACTGTAATGATCAACAAAGAGCATATATTCAGCAAATATTGTGTTTAGTGTCTAGCTATGTTTGAGTTTACTTTAAAATTTTTAGATTTCTAACTGTTAATCATGTTTCATTTAAAAAATATTGTATAATACTCTTTGAAAGACTTTTGATCTATAGTTTTGTAGAAAAAAGTTCATATTTGCAGAAAAAATCATATTTCAGGTAATAGAGTATGTCACTGCATACAAATCCATTCTTACTTCAATCAAAAAAGAATATGATGCTTTTATTGAGACAATAAAGAAAGGCCAAAGAACTGTGTTTTGTCTTCATGGAAAACTTAAAGTTTTGGCAGCAGAGCCCACAGCTTTTGTATATCACCAGAAAAGAAAAACCCAACTTGAAGAAAAGTGAGTATATTAGTAACTAGTCAAAAAGTTGTAATTGTTACTTGAGTATAATAACCAGTCAGTATATTCTAACTATTGGGTCTAAGTCTTTTTAACTTTATTTTTATGTTATTTATTTTTTGTTATTTTATTTTTTTAAATTTTGAGACAGGTTGTCTCTATGTAACCTAGGCTGGCCTTGAACTCACTTTGTATCACCAGGCTGGCTTTGAACTTAAGATCCTCCTGCCTCAGCCTCCTGAGTACTGAGATTACATGTGTGTACAATGATGCCCAGATTTAATTTCATTTTTATTTTCAAGCCATACTTTAAAGTTATCCTGTCCTACCAACTGTATTTTTTTGCATATTTCAAGTAAAAATACTAATTTTGTTGGAAATTTTATAATGCCTCATAGAATAATGGGAGGCTCATTGTGGTATCATAAAGTGAGGAATGCAGGTAGTTGTTACTCCAGTGATTTCTTGCATAGATTTGCTAGAACAATTTTAATTTCTACCTGGATTGCCTTTAATCCCATGATACAGAAAGGTACATTCCCTACTGGAAAGGATACAATGCTCATTCTTGTTGAGTAATCTCATATTTCAGTGCTAACATTCAGCAAATAATAGTTTCCAATAAACCTAGAAAATTATGCAAAAACTGACTTTCATTTTTGGTAATATGGCTGGCTAATGTTGGAACAGACTTTCTTTTAGGAAGATTGGGGGTTTTTTTTTGATGGTGAAGTGTCTAAACTCAGGGCCTTATACTTGCTAGGCAAGCACTCTACCACTTGAGCCATGCTTTTCAGCCCTTTTTGCTTTTAGTTGTTTTTCAGAAAGATCTTGTGGTTTTTTGCCCTGGCTGGCCTCAAGCTATGATCCTCCTACCTATGCCCCCGCATAGCTTTGTCTACACACATGTATCACCACAACTAGCTTGCTTGTTAATGGGGGTCTCTCCAACTTTTGTCCAGGCTGACCTCAATCCTCCTGATCTCTACCTCCCAAGTAGCTGGGATTATAGTCATGAGCCACCATCCCTAACCTTATATAAAATATTTCTTAAAAATTTTTCTAAAAGCATCAGAAAGCTGATGAGATATTCAGAGCACTAAAGCTTCTTTGTCTTTGGGGACATTTATTAAAAATTAGTGACTGTCAGATGCAGTGGTACAGGCCTATAATCCCAGCACTTGGGAGGCTGAGGCAGGAGAATCACAAGTTCTAGGCTAGCTTGGTCTATATAGTAAATTCAGTGCTATCCTTGGCCACATAGCAAGACCCTATCTCAACCTCACTGTCCTCCCCCCAAAAAAGATAGTGACCTTAAATTTCAGTTTTTACTGTGTGATAAGGGATAAAACACAAAGCCTAGGATCTAGCAGGAGAGGTGTAGTCTACTGTCAAATCCTCCCCATATAAAACTATAATGATAAGTGACTGCACCCTAGTAGAGAACCAGAGGTAAATAGTTGCCTAGGGACTGTATAGAAACTTGCTTTCTCAACTGAGGCCAATAGGAGAAGGGGACCAGGAACTAGAGAAAAGGTTAGATCAAGAAGAATTAACCTAGAAGGTAACACATATGCACAGGAAATCAATGTGAGTCAACTCCCTGTATAGCTATCCTTATCTCAACTAGCAAAAACCCTTGGTCCTTCCTATTATTTGCTTATACTCTCTCTTCAACAAAATCAGAGATAAGGACAAAATAGTTTCTGGCAGGTAGTGAGGGGGTGGGGGGGGAGAGGGAGGGAGGTGGGGGAAGGGGGGAGAAATGACCCAAACGTTGTATGCAAATATGAATTAAAAAAAAAAAGAAACTTGCTTTCTACTCAGCAAAGCTGATTTTCTGGGTGATGACATGTTCTGGAATTAAGTAGTGGTGATTGGAATATACTAAAATTTGCTGGGTTATACAGTTTATAAGTGTGGATTTCAAAGAATGTGAACCATGTATCAGTAAATCTATTATAAAAGGTATGGTGGATAAAGTGGAAAGGTTATATTATATATCTAATCACAGCTCTAAAAGAAAAGAGAACATGGGACTTAGATAATATTTGAAGAGATAATGGCTGAGGAATTTCCAGAACTGGTCAAAGATATTGATTTATAGATAAAAAGAAACCCAGAAAATCCCAAGCATGATAAAAGTTAGGAAATAACTCAAGTAGATTTATCACTGTGAAGTTGTCAAAAATAAACATATCATAAAAACATTGAAAAGAGCAACAATTAGGTACCTTCAAATCCCGTGTGGTAGCATGTAATGGAATGTCATTCCTTTTTATGGCCAAATCATGTACCTTTGTATATACCACAGTTTGGTTGTTCATTTATCTATTGATGGGCTCTTGGTTTGTTTCCACTTTTGGTTATTGTGAAAAATGTCATTATGAACTTTCATATACAAATATCTGAGTCCCTGTTTTCCATTCTCTTAAAAACGTGTTTACTTTTAAACTGTTTTTCTTCCATAAGCACAAACTTATTTGGAGTGAAACTGAAGGGTGTTTTATTTCCACAATCCTTTTAAAATAAATACTGCAAGCTTTTACTCTGAGCATCTGTAGTTATCAAGTTCTCTATAATATTCAGAAGCAGGCAACATTTATCTGTTGACAAACTGGGTTTTAATTTGCTCAAAAATCTGTTACACTTAAATATTTACAAAGATTTGTTCCTGATCGAACTCTTACCAAGGCTTCCCTGAACTCTTTTTCAACTAGGCCTGACTTGGACTTCCATGTTCATCTATGTAGTATCCAGTTTTAGCAAGAATCTTATCAAATTGGTTTAGCCAGAACCCCCAACCCTTGATATCTGACTCTTTACTATCCTTATCTCTACTATCTCCTACGTGATGTCTGATCACCCTGGCCTGCTTCAGCAAGAATCCTGTCAGGTCATTTTACCCAGAATCTCTCCTTACTTCTGTTCTTTCCTTTTAGTAATTTTCCATCCACTTACCTCACCTTGCTTCTTCCTTCCTTCCTTCCTTCCTTCCCTCCCTCCCTCCCTCCCTCCCTCCCCCCTCTCTCCTTCCCTCCCTTTTTTCGTTCTTGCCAGCCTGGGCAACATCTCAAAAAAAAACGGAAGAAAGGAAGGGAGGAAGTAAAAGAGAAAGAGACGGAGGAAGTAAAAGAGAAAGAGACAGATGAAAAAAATTTTACTAAGTTTTGGGTTTTTTTTTTAACAACCCCCATTTTTCTTTTTTTTTTTTGGCAATACTAGAGTTTGAACTCAGGGCTTCACAATCACAAAGCAGCAACTCTACCGCTTGAGCCATGCCTCTAGTTCATTTTGCTCTGGTTATTTTGGAGGTAGGATTTTGTGAACTATTTGTCCAAGGCTAGCCTTGAACTGTGATCCTCCTGATTTCAGCCTCCCAAGTATAGGATTATAGGCATGAGCCACTAGTGCCGGGCTAAAAGCCCCATTTTTTTTTTTTTTCTGTGCTGGGGATCAAACCCAGGGCCTTGCCCATGCTAGGCAGGTGCACTACCACTGAGCTACATCCTCAACCCAAGACCCCCATTCTTTTTTTTGCCTTTTTTTTTTCCTTTTTGGTGGTACTGGGGTTTGAACTCAGGGCCTCACGCTTGCTAAGCAGGTGCTCTACCACTTGAGCCACTCCTCCAGTCCAAGACCCCCATTCTTGAATGAATTTACTTTTCCCACAGAGAAGTTCTACCCTTCCTCTTGCTCTAGGATCAGAATTACTGCAGTAGGCTGAATAGTGGCTCTCAAATATATCAGGATCTACCTGTTAGGGAATGGGAGGGGGAAGGGTAAATGGAGAAGGTGAAGGAGGGTGAATATGGTCAATGTACTTTATATACTTGTATGAAAATAGAGTAATGAAACCTATCAAAATTATTTTATTAGTGGGAAGGGAATGAGAGAGAATGATGGAGGGGATGAATCAGACCAAGATACATTGAAACATATGGAAATGTGACAATGAATCCCCCCATTGTACAACTAATTATATATATAGTAATCAAAATGTTTAATAAAATAAGCCTAAAACTTGTATTCAAAAAAAAAAAAAAAAAGATATCGGAACCTAATCCCAGGATCCTGTAAATGTTACCTTATTTGGACACAGGCAGCAGAGAAGGCAATGTGACCTTGGAGGCAGAAGTCAAAGTTTGGCTGCCATGGAGTTCTTGCAGCCCTCAGAGGCTGGAAGAGGCAAGGAACTGATTCTCCCCTAGAGCTTCCAGGGGAAGCACAGTCCTCACAACACTTTGATTTTGTTCTAGTGATATACTCATTTTGGACTTTGGGCCTCTAGAATGGTGAGAGAATAAATTTCTGTGTTTTAAGTCACCAAGTTTGTAGTAATTACTACAATAGCCACAACAAACTAGTACCATTATTTACAAAAAGTGACATTTAAGTTGCAAACATAATTTTTGGCTAAAGAGAATATGTAGTATTTTGTGGCCAGATTATGTTTAACACTTTTGACTTTCCAAAGGGATTAAGAAGCATAGTCAGTATTAGATTTTACTGATTCTCTGAAAGAAAAGCTGCCCCCATCTGTGAAGTTAGTTAACTTTCTTCAGGGCATTATTTTCTAAACTTCTACCTAGTTCATAATGGTTCAAAATGATAATTAGCCAGAATAAGGTAATGATTTAGCCTGTTCTAAATTTTGTGATTCAGGAATTAAATTAGTTGAAAGAAACATAAGAAAACCTTTCTGATTTTCAGAATGAAGATTGTTGAAAATAATTCCTTGATGATTCAATTGCAAATAGATCAAATGAAACAGCTTAGAGCAGAGTATGACAAGAAAGAAGTAAAATATTGTACTTTCTCCAAAGATCCTTCACAACCTATTCCAGGTACTATTATTTTGTTTAAAATATTTGAAGGAAATAACTGTTTCCAGTTAGTACCACCTATTACACAAATTAGTGTAAACATGCTGATTTATGTGCATTTTCCCATTGTAAGTTGTGTGAACAACTTTAGTCAGGGTCATAGCATGGAAAGAGAAAAATTTAAACAACCCTAAAAGGCTATAAGAGTTCTTTCTCGGTTACATAAAGTATTATGCATACTCTCAAAATAAGGTTCTTGTTATCAGCATTAGTAGCACCATCAGTCACCAGGGAAATGGTTAGAAATACAAATTCTTGGGCCTCACCCCAGACTTACTGTGTCAGAAACTTGTGATTGAGTCCAGCAGTTAGAGTTTTATCAAATTTTGATTATTCTGGTGCACTCTAAAGTTTGAGAACCACTGGTATAATTTATGAAAGACTAATGTATTATATTTTGGTGAATATTATTGATTCATGTTGATGTCAGCATTCACTGGTTCCACAACTTTAATATAATACTGTTGCTACATTTTCCAGGAGAGTATCATGAAATTCACTCAGAATGTGGAGAGATTTGTATGATGACTAATAGAGGAGTTCCAAATATTTATCCAGGAGAATACAGATTTGGGGCATAGATAATGATATTTAGATCTTAAAAATTGTTTGATTAATCTTTATCTGGAGGTAGAATCAATAGATGGAAATTTTAGAAAACCAGTTTGGTCTAAGTGGAAGAAGCTATGCCTTATAATGAGTTACTCTGTACTAGAAGATTTCAACTAAGTCTGAATGATCATCTTGCATTTGGTTGAAGGAGGGACTAGATTTACTTTCAAACATAAAAGTATGACTAGGAAACTCCAAATAACATACATAAGTACAGAGTAAGTGACAAGCAGTAAATGTCAAGAAGATTAAAGTGAGGGAATGATTAAAATTCAGTAGGATTAATACGGAGCAGGGAGCTGGAAGAGGGGAATTGTGAGGTATATGTTAAAGTTAACAGTTGGCCTGGATAAGAAAAGAAGATATCTGTGTGTGTGTGTGTGTGTGTGTGTGTGTGATGAATAGTGACATGGGATAGTGAGAGAAAAAGGGATGGCTGAAGATTTGACAGGAATTTATAAGTTTGTGTTGGAAAAAAAGTAAGCTGATTATCTGAAGTTAGTCATGATAGAGTAATGGATGATTTAGTTACAGAGAAATCTGTTGGCAGAATCTGTAATCATTAAACAGAGGCTCTTGGAATAAGAATGACATAAAGGGTTGTTCAGGCTGTGTTGATGTCATTAGAAAAAGTTTTTTTCATATGCTAAAGTTTATTTGTTTTCAGAACAATCAGTCTTCATTGATGATGCTTAAAATTGTTAGCCATTTATGTTAATTCTACTTATGTTCAGTGAACTACAAGTACATGCTACAAAGCTGGGTATGGTGGGGCATGTCTGTAATCTCAGCTACTTAGGAGGCAGGATTGCAAGTTTGAGGCCAGAAAACATAGCAGAGACCCTGTTTCAAAAATAAAATGAAGGTCTGGGGACATGGCTCAAGTGGTAGAGAACCTGTCTAGCAAGTGTTAGGCCCTGAGTTCAAATCCCAGTACTACCAAATAAATAAGTAAAAACATTAAAAAACAAAAACAACAAAATATGAACAAAAGACTTGGCATAGCTCAAGCAGTAGAGTATATGCCTAGTATGCACAAGGTTCTGGGTTCAATCCCCAACAATGAGGAAAAAAATGAGTATATATTACCATTTCAATCTGACCTATCTTGCTATGACACTATTTGAGCACAAGAGTGCTACACATGACTTTGCCTGTTTGTTTCCTTTTCTTATAGGCATGACTCTCCAAGATTCTGTCAATCTAGATGCTCTCAATAAATATATGAAACATCTTAACGATAAGTTTGAAGAAATGAAACAAACTATGTTGATAAAATACATACCAGCTCAAAGGATGGCTGATTTAGATGAGGAAATGATTGTACTATTAAAAAGGAGAGATGTGGCTGAAGATCTGAACAAAAAATTACAGTTTCGGTATGAAAGTTGATTACATATTTTTAAACTTTGAGACTTTATTTGTGTTTATTCTGATACTCCACCTCTTGATTTTAGGCTCAGTATGTTGTTGATTTTTTATATCTTTATAGTCATCAAAGACTGCAGATTATTTCACATGCACTTAATTCATGGCTAAAATCTGATAGGAGCGGCTCATTTCAAGACAGCGTGGAGCAGATTATGAAAACCAAAGATGTACATGGTAGTTCATCTATATTTTTTAATTAGCACAAACAGTGGAACTCATTTTCCCCAAAACTTAAAGAATGAGGTTTTCCTATGCTGAGTTTAAAGAAAGCAAAAATACACTTACCTCTGCTGGTTCTGTTACTCTATGAGTTTCTTCCTTCAACAGCTGACAGATAATTGGTAAAGAATAGACTTGGTAAGCCAAAGAGAGAATACCTTAAAATAAAGAGGAAAGGGACAGGGAGGCCACTCAATTTAGGAAGAGATTGGTGCTGTTCAATACCAAAGCAATAAGTTGTTGGTATTAAACATGCTTATTATTTTCTACTGACAAATAACCTTAAATATCTTATGGTAGTCCTTTCAATATTTACAGATGACCAAGCTGTTGATGAACTGTTTGAAGATAATCCAAGCAAAGCAAAAGAAGCTGAAATTATGCTTTACCACATTGACAGGCACGCATTTAAAAAGCTTTGATTTTCCATGTTTAAATGACCACAGTTACTGTTTATTTAGTAGCTTGATGAGGCATAGTATCCAGCTTTTGCATTTTGAAAATTCTATTCAGTTGGCAAATTAGAAAATTAGCTAGAATTTATTTTTTCATAGACTTTGTATAAAGAGTCTAGGAGATTTTTCACAGGCAATAAGAAGATTATAGTATCATGATATGTTTTATTTATATATTTTTTGAATTCCTTAGCAATCAACTTGATGTTATTAAATGTTTTTGAGAATGTCTTCTTGATTCAGATGATTGTAGACAATTCAGTTCTTTTTTCTCCATGTTCTATTCTGGGACGTATGAAGATGGCTTATTTCTCTTTAACACTCAAGTTATTAGACATAGCATTTAGTAGAGGTATAAAGAAATTGAAGACTGTTTTCTTTAAAAGTTAATTCATAGGCTACGAGCATAATATGTAATGTCCATAGTCTTATATGTTAAACAGTTTTTGCCTGTTGATTTGCTTGTTATTATGGTACAAATAAGTGGATAAAGATAACTTGGGGGTGGGGCACCGAAGTCTGTGTTATTCTCTTACAGTGTATGATACTTCTCTAAGTCTACCTGCTTTGATATGAGAGGAAAACTGTTGAGAGTGAAAGTTCATTATACTCTGCTTACTATTATCTTAGTGTTTTCCCCCTTAGATTCCACATTCATTTGCAACACTACATAAATCCTGTTTGCATAGTATTATTAATTGTGAGGTAAAGGCTTATTTGAGGACCTTTTGTCATAGCCAAAAGTATAGAGGCTAATGTTAACTATTATATATCTCCTTGTGTTTGTCTAATATTAAGAGTTTGATGCCTGACAGAGCAACATAGGCTTCTAAATACCAAGAACAGCTCTTGATCTCAAATTTGGCTGCCTCTGCATTCAGTTAGTATTTCCTATAGGCTCAGCTTCTAAACGGATTGCTCTTCGTTCCCCTGATGATATGAGCGAAAAAAACCTGAGGTCATTGTAAACTCACTTCAAGCTCTTTCTTTCCATTTTCTATGAGTTCCTATAAGTACTATAAGAATAAAGTACAGGATCAGGCTCAAAGTCACCTGGCAGGAGAGAGTTTTCTACTGAGACAAAACAAAACAAAATGAAACAACCCTCTAGAATATTAGAGAAGAGTTGAATGGATATCTTACAGAGTAAATAATTCTAGTTTATAGTTTATTAGAATTGCTTTTTGGGTTTCTATATTATGCTATTATATTTAGTTTGTATTAACTATTTCTATTTCTAATCCGTTTTCTTCTTTTTTGTGTGCCATTGTAATGCATTATAAAATGCAATGGCTATAGGCTTAATGAATTAATCTCACTTGGTGAATATGAAAAGGCCGCTTCTTTTGCAGCAAACAGTCCTAGAAAAATTCTTCAAAACATTGGTACGATGAATAAGTTTAAGGGTAAGCATTTCTCTCTGAGCCATATATACATATATATGCAAATTATACTTCATTTTTCCCTGTTAGAATGGGAAGAGAAGCTAAAGATCTAGTCTCCAGTCCTTACCTGTAACATTAAAGAGTTTGATTAGATTTTCTAAATTAAATTACAAAATTTTTAAGTACATAGAAAAGTATCGAAATATATTAGCATTCATGTACTCATTCTCAAGATTTGATAAATGTTAAAATTTTGTCAAATTTTAAAAAACATCCTTTTTTTAAAAGGATCCTTTTAAAAGACAACTTTCTTGTGGTAAATTGACATACATATAACAAATTGTATACTTTTTTGTGGTGCTGGGACCTCATGCATTCTAGGCCCACAACCAAATAGTACATACTTAAAGTATACAATTTGATAAGTTTTGACACATACATACACCAATGACCTCATCACCCCTAAGCTCCCTCATATCCCTTAGTAATCCTTCTCTTCCCACTACTTCCTACCCCTTCCTCTTCTTCTCTTAGTCCCTAGGCAACCATTAGTCTGTTTTCATTCATGATAGATTCATTTGTATTTTCCATAATTTTGTATAAATGGAATCATGCAGTAGGAATTCTTTTTTGGTTGATTTGTACTCAAGCATATTTATTTTGAAATTAATGTTTCACATCTAGCAATAGTTTGCTCACTTTTATGGATGAGTAATATTCTGTTGAATGAATACAAATCCTTTATCAGCTATGTGTGTGTGTGTGTGTATTTGATTTTCATTCTTTTCTTTTTTTAATAAATTTTTTCATTAGGCTATATTCATTGTTCAGAGGATATTCATGATGACAATTCCGATTAGGTTTATGTTGTACATTGTCTCTCCCCCTCAACCCCCTCCTTACCCCACTTAAAACAATTGCAAGAGGTTTCTTTGTCTATTTCATATAAGTATATGAAATCCATCAGCCATATACCCTCACTATAATCTCCTTTGTTCACCCTCCCCCACACTAGTATCCTCCCCACATACTATACCTATTTTACAGTCCTATCTTTCATTATTAATATTTAAGTTGATGTTCAAAGGGGTTTTTCAATGTATCCCCAGTGTGGGTATACTTTACTTTGATCCATTCAACCCCTTTCATTATTTTCCCTTATCCCTTTACTGCCCCCCATTTTTCAACAGCTTTCAATATAAATCCTTATATCCTCTATTTTCACAGATGTTATGTTTTATGACAGTACTGATAGTACTGATGCTTTATCATTGTCTTTTCCTTTCCCTCTTTCCTAGAGTTCTGCAGGGTAGTTCCACTATTACAAACATGTTCTACATATGAATTTGTATATGATCATGCTCATTTTTGTGTATATGTTTGGATCTTTGGGTCTATCTTCCATGTATGAGAGAAAACATGCAGCCTTTGTCTTTCTGAGCCTGACTTATTTCACTTAATATGATGTCCTCCAATTGTATCCATTTACTTTCCAACCACATCATTATTCCTTATGGCTGAGAAAAACTCCCATTATGTGTATATACCACATTTTGTTAATTAATTGATTGATTTTCTTTTTTTAAGCTTATTTTTACCACATTTTCATGATCTGTTCATCAGATCTTGATTGGTTTGGCTTTTGTGAATAGTGCTGCAATGAACATTGGTGTACAGGTGTCTCTATTGTATTCTGACTTACATTTCTTTGGGTAGATGGCCAGAAGCAGTACCACTAGATCATATGGCAGTTCTATCTTTAGCTTTTTGAGAATCTCCATACTGCTTTCCATAGTAGTTGTGCTAAATTGCATTCCACCAGCAGTGTGTAAGGGTTCCTGTTTCATCACATTCTTGCCAGCAATTGTTGTGGTTATTGCCCTTGGATATGGCCATTCTAACTGGTGTGAGATGAAACCTAAGTGTAGTTTTGATTTGCATCACTAGATGAATTGAACACTTCTTCATGTATTTACTGGCCATTTTTACCTCTTCCTTTGAAAATTCCCTGTTTAATTCATGTGCTTATTTCTTCATTGGGATGTTGATTCTTTGGAGGTTGAGTTTTTTGAATTTCCTGTAGATTCTGGATATTAGTCCCTTATCAGATGAATAGCTGTCAAAGATTTTCTCCCATTCTGTGGGCTGTCACTTGAGTCTAGTGACTGTTTCTTTTGCTATGCAGAAACTCTTTAGTTTGATGCAGTACCATTTGTTCATTCTTTCTCTTAGACACTGAGCCTTTTGAGTTCTACTTAGGAAATTGCTCCTTCTACCTGCATGTTCCACTGTATTTCCTACTACTTCCTGGAGTTGTTTCAAAGTTTTCAGGCCTTATATTAAGGTCTTTGATCCACTTTGAGTTGATTTTGGTACAGGGTGAAAGACAGGGATCTAGTTTCAGTCTTCTACATGTGCATATCCAGTTTTCCCAGAAACATTTGTTGAAGAGGCTTTTCTCCATCATGTGTTTTGGGCTCCTTTGTCAACGATCAGTTGGTTATAGATGCATGGGTCTATGTCTGGGTCTTCTAATCCATTGGTCTTTCTGTTTGTTTTTGTGCCAATACCATGCTGTTTTTATTGTTATGGCTCTGTAGTATAGTTTGAAGTCAGGTATTGTGATACCTCCAGCATTGGACATTTTGCTCAGAATTGCTTTGGCTATTCGAGGTCTTTTGTGTTTCCATACATATTTCAGGATTCATTTTTCTATTTCTCTGGAGAATGTCATTGGAGTTTTGATAGGGATTGCATTGAACATGTAGATTGCTTTTGGTAGTATGGCCATTTTCACAATGTTGATTTGTGCCAATCCATGAGATTGGGAGATCTTTCCATCTTCTGATGTCTTCTTTGATTTCTCTCTTCAGTGGTTTATAGTGTTCATTGACATGGTCTTTGGTTTCCTTTGGTAAATTTATTCCAAGGTACTTTATTGCTTTTGAGGCTATTGTGAGTGGAATTGTTTCCAATTTCTTTCTCAGTCTGTTCATTGCTGGTCTATAGGAATGCTACTGGTTTCTGTATGTTAATTTTATATCCTGTTACTTTGCTGAAAGAGCTTATGATTTCTAATAGTTTTTTGGTGGAGTTTTTAGAGTCTTTTAGGTATAGGATCATGTCTGCAAATAAGAATAGTTTGACTTCTTCCTTCCCTATTTGAATCCCTTTTATTTCTTGCTCTTATCTTATTGCTCTAGCTAGGAATTCTAAAACTATGTTGAATAGGAATGGAGAAAGCAGGTATCCCTGTCTTGTTCCTGGCTTTAGTGGGAATGATTTCAGTTGTTCTTCATTTAGGATAAAGTTGGCTATAGGTTGTCGTATATTCTCATGGCCAGCATGAGCAAGTCCTTTAATATGACTGGGAGCAAATGGAGTTAGAAGAAAGGCACAAAGGCAGACATGGGTGGTTCTGATGCTTCCGATAAGAAATGCTGGCCCCCTCCACATCCAACCGCATTTATTTTTATAGCGCATATGCGGAAGTCAAGTTAGGTTCTCATGGACAAGTCACATAGTCAGCAGGAACAAGGATGGTATGGTAGGTTGTTTTTCTATTCTGACTTTCCTTGTCTAATGGTAAACATGTCCTGTTTCCCACTCAAGGCAGCCATGCTGAACCTTGTACATTTCCTTTAATCTGGGGCTGTGCCTTTGAAGCTTAAAGGTCCTTGACATGGCCATACTTATGACAAGGTTTCTTGGTCCATTCAGTTACTGGTCTCCCACATCTCCTCCCTTTTTATTTCTTAAATGTTCCCAGTGCGGACTGGTGCTTAGTCCAAGGAACTGTCTTGGACTGCTCGGCATATGACTGAAAAGGCACAAAAGCAGATTGGTAGCAGGACTCCTATCCCTGTGAGGTACCAGAAGGAATGTTTAAGGACATTAAATGGATTAAAACCGTGTAGCTCATCCAATATAGTTTTTGCCATGTCAGCAGTAGAGATGATCCAATCATATGCTCTCTGCATTGCCAATATCTGTTGTCTGAGGTGTTGTAAATTTAAAGTATCATTGCTGTTTTCCCAGGCTCTTCTCTCATGAGCTTTAATGCTCTGCCAGGGATACTCCAACTCATTGTAGGGAGCAGCAGTGATAAAGAAATTCAGACAGGAAGCCTGTCTGAATTTTATGGTTTGTAGTTCATCCCCATAGTGAGGAGAGCCACCTCCAGGGTGGTTAAGGGACATCTATAGATACTTGTTGTTGGAGGGCATAGGTGACATTCTGGGTGAGTGTGTTAACATAGTGGGCATTTTGTATGCTTTGAGACAAAGCCATGGAGGCCATGGCCATAGTGGCAATAGCAGTTATGGTGGCCACTATGCCTGCTATAATAAGGCCTATAACCCTGTTTTCTCTTACCAACAGGCCTTTTATACTTCCTTTATAACCTGTAAGCCTTTGTCATGGTACCAAGGACCTGTGAAATCAGTGGGTACCAGAAGATATGGTATATGTCTTACCACTAAGATTGTCTTGCCCTTGTAGGTGCTGGTGCAGACTGTTAAGATTACAAGTTAGGCAATTTATCTTGTATATAGAGCCATTTTTTTGTAATGTTTAGACCCCCCCATGACTAGATCAAAAGGATGTTGTATGCAGGCTTAGAGGCCTTTCTTGTTTGCCCCAATACCTTCAAGGTCACCCAAAGACCAACTAGTCAAGTTGAGTAACTCTGTAGCTGCAGTCAGTTTCCATATATCTGTTTGGACATTCCCTCCATCGGGGCCTACCATAGGGGTGGTCCAGTATCCAGTCACATTGGTTTCGTGGCTAGCATTTCTGGACCAATAGACAACAGTGACTATGCTGAGAATAAAGAATGTATTATGAGGGAACAGGCGTTGCTCCCATGGGGCCCCTTTGCCAGGATGATGCTGGGTTTGTTTGGTGTGACACTTAGGAAAGTGCAGCTGGTATGTGACATTGTACCACTCAGTGGCATTGAAGCCCAGGAATTCTAAGTTTTCATCTCTGTAATGGATGCCATTTCGCACAAGGGCACTTCTCCAGGTGGGCACTATAGGAAGGCACCATTGCAATGAGCTTAAGCATAATGGCACCAAAGTAGATTGCCCTGTGAAATTATATGGACTGAAGGTGAGAGTCATGTCCATTAGAGTGGCCTCCCACCAACTCTGAATCAATGGTGTAAACCAGTACATTTGGTCTTTCCATGTTGCTGCTTGAAGCAGCGGCAGGTGAGGTATAAAGGTTCAGTGTTGTTGGGTTTGGGTCACTGAGCCACTTACCTGTGGGGTGATGATTGCCAACATGGCCACAAAAAAGGCACCTGTCAGCCTCGCACTCCTGATCACATCACGTCCCGACCTTGTCAGGCACTTGATTTGTCCCCAGCTGGGTGAGCCCATTGTCTGGGTCGCACGGGACAGGCAGATCCTGGTCCTCCCCTGAGATGGTAGTGGTGGGGTCTGCATTATCTTTGTCCTCACCTGCACTCCCCTTCTTGGGTCTTCACTGTCCTCAGGGGCCTCCAGTTGGGGTCCTTGCTCAGCCGTAATTTCTTCATTCTTGGTACGAGGATATCCATAGTGCTTCATGTACCAGGAGGGCACCCATATGGGCTTTTCAGCTCCTTCAGGAAAAACACAAACATGTACTCGACCCCACATCAACACTGGACTGGGACCTAATCAGACTCCCATTGATTACAAATATGGCCTGTAAGTGACCTCAATGTGTCCTGCCTGTAGCTGTTCCTCAACCAATGCCTGAGCTGCAGCCAATTTTTTCCCAGTCAGGGGGCCACTGGTCCATCCAGACAAGCTCTTTTGTCAGCCATGTAATCCAAGTGGCTGTCCTTTCTCGGGGGAATCGTTGTTGTCTGGCCAGGGCCCCTCCTGAAAAGGTTGATTAGAGGAGTAGCCCAATCCAGTGCGCCCGGAGTGTCCTTTACTATCAGTAGGATGTAACCTTCCCTATTGGGTCTTTCCCAGTCCCCTTTGGGGATCAAAGTCCTGTTGGAGCATCATGTGGGAGACCACGCTATTGGAACTACAGAGTATGGCTCCCATTCCTTGTAAAACATCTCTTCCCCATAGGTTTACTAGGATATCTTTTAAGACATATGGTGTAAAAAAACCCTGAACATCCCTTTTTATCCTGTCACTTAATTGTGGCAACACTCTGCAGGGGGGCCCTGGCTGACCCCACCCCCTGCAGGTCTGCCATGGCCTATGTGCAGGGCCACGTCAGAGGCCAGTGGCAAGAAGCAATCACCGAGACATCCGCGCCAGTGTCTACCAGGCCCAGTAACCTTTTTGCCATTTAGGAATAAGATCATTTTTGGTCTCTCAGCAGTAACCCATTGGACCAAGTAAGCATAATTTCAACGTCCAAAACCTTTATGTCCTTGAAGGGTAGGTGTTAACACATTGCCTTTCTTTATATTATGAGAAAGACCAATTGAGCTATTCTATTAGTGGGGGCTATTGCAACAAATGTCTGAGGGGCTTGAGTCAATATCTTAATTTCTCCTGTATAATCTTGGTCAATTACACCTGGGTGAATTTGCAAACCCTGGAGAGTCATACTGCTTCTTTCTAATATCAATCCCACGGTGTCTTGGGAAGCAGGCCATGAATCCCTATAGGGATGGCCTGGACACCCATTCCAGGGGTTAAGATACATCAGGCAGAGGGACTGAGGTCCAGTCCTGTGCTTCTGGGGGTTGCCCAAAAGAGGTCCTCAATGGTGGCACACCCAGGCTCTTCGCAAACAGGGAGAGTGCCCCTACTGTTTGATGGGGCCAGAGCTGGCCCCATGGGGAATTTCCCTGTGGTACCTGTAGAGGGTGACCTTCAACATCAGTTTGTGAGCAGCACTCATTGGCCCACTGTCATCCCGGCTGACAGCAAGGGTAGATCCCAAGGAGCCGAGCTGTGCCTGTGGGCACAGAGTCCACTGCCCCACTGGATGAGGTTTTGGCCCCCTGTGGCATTCCTTGGTAAAGTGCCCTGGTTCGCCTCAATTATAGCAAGCACCCACATTCCTTTGTTCCAGGCAGGCATAGTACCTCCTTAAGGGCTGCCTCAAGCACCATCCCTTGAACATGACTACCCCCAATGTCCTGAAGGGATGCTTTTTTCCTGTAAGGTCAGAAGGTCTCCCTACAATATTTATTTGCATTTTTAAAAGTCAACTATCTGACCAGAAGAGTCCCAGTTTCTGGGTTCCCCACTGTCCTTCCTATGTGCTGCATTAGGCAGGCCACAAAGTCCTGAAAGGGCTCATTGGTACCCTGTAATATCTTTGTGATTTCCTGGGACTTCTCTCCTTTTGCAGGCAGTTCTCTCCATTCCCGGGTTGTGGCAGTGGTGATCTGCTGGTAAGTCTCGGGTGGATACTGAAGTTGATTGCCTAGCCCCTCATTTTCCTCCGCCCTAACAGCATGTCTGAAGTTATGGGAATTCTATGGGTGGCATTTCGGGCACCCTGTTCAGTGCACAGCTCTGTATAGCTAGTTTTCCACAGCAAGTAGTCCCCTGGGGACAAGCAGGCCCTTACTGTTCCTTCCAATTCTCCGGGGGCAGGGTGCTATCTGCCACCATGGCCTGCAGCACTTGTATATCGTAGGGTGCAATGGCGCCATACATGGTGTATGCTTGTTTTAACTCTTAGTGTTTTGAAGGAAACCTTTTCATGCCATCTCACAGGATTGCTGATGTTGGGGTCTGCCCTCTCAAACACCAGGTAGACTCTAAACCCTGTCATGTCCTCCTCAGACTCATGTGCTTGAGCGATGGCCTCTTGTATGGGGCACTTCCCTCCCATGGCACTGAAGGGCTATGTTGAATGTGTTAAGTGTAACTTGCTGAGCAGCTGAGTGGGTGCCTCTTGGTAGTCCTCCTCACTTTCACTTCCTGAGTCAGATTCAGTCAGTGGCCAGTTCAGGCATTTTCGTGTGCTTAAAGGTGGGCATCGCCTCCAATGGGGGAGCTGATGGGACAGTGGGAGGCGCCAGGTTAAGAGTCTGCCTTAGGGGCTCATACCCACTGTGGCTTTTGTGCCCCACAGCTTGGAAGCCGAAGAAGAAAGTTTTAACTGATGAATGGGAGTCAAGTCTAGGCAGTCATGGATCTGACTCCACAAACCGAAAGTAAAGATTGGCATGTTGTCTGCCCTTCCACAGTATAGTGGCTCCGGAGTTTCTCGCCCACCTTTTGCCAAGTGTCAAGGTTTACAGTGCTCTTCTCTGGGAACCAAGGACATGTGTCCTGGACATAGTCTAAAAGTTGTATAAATTGAAGCAACCTAACTTTGCTTCCTCTAGTCTTAAGTATTGCCTTTACCATTTGTACATAGAGATCTCTTTCCATTGAGCCATTTTGTCCCAGGGTTTTACACCTGACTCTGTCTTTTTGCGCTCTCCCCCTTACCTTAGTCTATGGTGTGCGTGCCACTTGAGAGCATCCCCTCGTCTCAGCTGTGAGTTCCACCGTAGTCGGGTCCCTGTTCAGGCGCCACCTCTCACAGCCAGCGTGAACAAGTCCGTTGATCTGAATGGGAGCAACTGGGGATTAGAAGAAAGCCACAAAGACAGACGTAGAGAAAATCTGGGGGATCAGGTGGGTCTGATGCTCCTGAAGAGAGACACCAGCCCCCTCCACATCCAAGCACATTTATTTATACAGCGTACATGCAGAAGTCCAGTTAGGTTCTCATGGGCCAAGTCACATATCCTTGTCTAATGTTAAACATATCCTGTTTCCCACACAAGGCAGCCTTGCTGAACCATGTCCATTTCCTTTAAGCTGGGGCTGTGCCTTTGCAGCTCAAAGTCCTTGACATAGCCATGCTTATGTCAAGGTTTCTTCTTGGTCCATTCACTTTCTGGTCTCCCACAGTATATTGCCTGTATTATGTTAAGAAACATTCCTTTTAGTCCTAGTTTCTTCAGAGCTTTTATCGTGAAAGGGTGTTGAGATTTGTCAAAGGCTTTTTCTACATCTATTGAGAGGATCATGTTGTTTTGTCCTTCTGTTTATATGCTGTATTACATTTATAGAGTTATGTATGTTGGACTATCCTTGCATCCCTGGAATGAAACCAACTTGGTACTGGTGTGTGATCTTTTTTGATGTGTTGTTGAATTCTGTTTGCCATTTTTTTGTTGAAAATCTTTACATCTATATTCATTAAAGATATTGGTCTATAATTCTTTTTTTTGGTTGCATCTTTATTGGATTTTGGAATGAGTGTTCTTCTGGCTTCATAGACTGTGTTTGGTAGTGTTCCTTCCCTTTCTACTTCCTGGAAAAGATTGAGGCATATTAGTATTAGTTCTTCTTTAAAGATCTGGTAAAATTCAGCTGTAAATCTGTCAGGTCCTGGGCTCTTCTTTGTAGGGAGGCTTTTTATTACTGCTTCAATTTCATTGCTTGTAATAGGTCTATTTAGGTGCTTAATATCTTCTTGGTTCATTTATCCATCTAGAAATTTGCATCTAGAAATTTATCCATTTCATCTAGATTTTCCAGTTTACTTG